TCATGTGAAACGAGCACATATCCAATGAAAAATATATAAATTAATGAATACTATTTTTGGGAAATATCATTCAAGAGAAATAACCTAGGTATTGCATTATGATAAATATATGAAGCTATTTTGTGTATTTATTATTTTATGCAGTAATTATTGAAATTAACTTTTCATGTACAATATGCACAGAAAATTATATGAAAATATTGCATTGAGATGTATTTTACATAACTTTAAAAGCTGTCTTGAATAAAGTATCATTAACATATCAAAATCAAACAGTATCTATCATCACAATGTATTTTTAAAAACACAAGAAGCCAAATCTAGTTAGACATACACAATATACATTATGTGGTTGAATCAGAAAATGGGTGAATATTGATATGCTGATGTGTATGCATACCAGAAAAAAAAAACTTTAGCCTAGATTGCTACAATAAAGGTGAAAGATGGTGGACACTATCATGTAGTGGCCATGTAACTATGTCAACATAACTTAAGTTACCCTGGGTCATTTCAATCTAGGCTAATTTGGCACGTATTTACAAATGTCTGAAAACACTTGGCACTTTTGTTGAAGTTACCATATACCACAGGTGACATGCATTGGGTTACCTTTGTTCACCACTATCACAACTATGTCAAAATACTTTAAGTTACCCTGGGTCATTTTAATCATATTTAGTTCAGGATCAAACACCTCTGACAACTGGTTGCTTTTACCAAAGTTACCCTAGGATATCACAAAACAGATGACAGACAGTGAATCACCTTTGTTGAAGTAGATGTACAGCTACTATGTAAACATGCCTTATGTTTTCTTGGGTCTTTTTAATCTACTTTGGTTCAGCTTTACACAATTCTGGCAAGCTTCAATCATTTTTTGTTGGCCTAGGTGACAAAGACCTCAACATACATTGTACCTCAGGCAATATTGGATCATTATTATCAAAGTTATAGTCAAAATTAACATATTTAAGTTGGCCAAGGGCATTTTTAATCAAGTTTGAACACCCAGTTACCCTGCATCATTTTTTTCAGTTGTCTTGTAACTAGGGCAACTCACATTACCCCGAGTCACTTTTATCATTCACATGAATGTTAATAGCTTTCAATTTCACTACGTGGAGCAATGCTTACCTTGCCCTGATCAATTACAACTCCTGGGCATGACAAGTTAAAGGCCATTCAAAGAACCAAAATCATGATGATTTTAATGACAAATAGGAGGAATCTATGGATTCACAGTATTCATTAAAACCCATTGCTGGGCATCACTGCTCGGGCAAATATGACACTAGGTCAGTTGAGTCGTAGGATACCATGAGAAATAGTATTTGGGTCTCGCAAGCTAATTTCACCAATGATGGTTGTCTGTGGTTACCATTTCCATGCCATTTCTACTGACACTCAGGCTAACATTGTTTAAAAAATTGGGATAGTCAAATATCCAAAGCCTCAATTGTGAGGAAAATCCTTTCTCAAGCTAGACGAGAACTCAACAATTTTGTTATGTTCTCCCCGTTGCCTGTTGCCCAAACTGTACACCCAGCAGACCCACTTACTCCGATGATCAAGGATTATTTTGATAGCACTGATAAAGTGTTTAAGAGTGGTAAGTGGATCCCATCCTGATGGATCGAGTGCCTGCACAGCTTCTGTATCAACACTACTCCATATAAGCGATATGATAACCATCAAAGCAGCTGGCATGACTCGATGAGTGACTGACTGAGAGGGCAATTTCACTAGTCAGACAATACATTATAAAATAATATAATAAAAGTATTATTTACACAGTGACCTAAATACCAAAACAATAATCCTTACATGCTTGTACTGATAATATATGCTTTGTGTTTACAATAAGTTTTAAGGACTTGCAATAAACACAGCTGCTTGACAAAACGCTTTATATTTGCACATTTTGGTGGTCAATAAAAACAGCAGGGAGGGTGCACCCTATCATAGACCTGAGCCGACTTATCAGTACGTCCCTGCAGATTATTTCTCAGAAACTACAATATGACACGTATGATCTAGGAAACTATAATATGATACATGCATACAATTTTCTTGGAAAACATGAACACAGCCTTTGTGTGATGCTGGGTACCCTCTGGCGATTGCTTTGCTTCAGTATCTCATGTACTGATTCACATCATTAGCTGCCGATATCTACACTACCTAATTCAGAGTACAAAGTACTAATTTACTCTTCAGGTTGAAATGTAAACCAGTATCTAGATGACTGACTGCTACAATTTAAATCAGTTGAAATTATGAATCAATAAATTTTTCAGTACCAGGAATTCCCAACACTCAATGTCGTAATGACAATGGTGATCCCGAATTGGTCAGAGAGACTATGGTTTTCCCTACTCCTTTCACTTCTGATAGCAAAACTGGCAGCCTACCGGACAACTTGTAAATACTGACACAAGATGATGGGGAGCTCCCCAATTACATGCTTGGAAGCTTTTCAGCAATTGACAAAAGTCTTAGAAGAATTACTGTTTTTCGCCCACTCAGAGCCCTATGCTTTTGTAACTATAGAAGAAAAGTAATCAGGGTGACACCAAACAGATGTTTAACGGCAAACATAACCTATTCCCTACGACCATTCAGAAATCCTCACAATTTAATTTTGTGTTGACAACTCCGAATGGGACATGTCTTGTGGACATACTTCCATTAAATACGCATTTTTACCACTTACACGAGTTCTCTTAGCTGTGTGTTAGAAACCTGGGCAGAAATCAGGACCAGTGAATATTGTCTAATATTGTATATCTAATAATTATGTAGGATTTTTAGTGGTGGGCTTCCTTCCTACTGGGGTTTTAGGAACAGATGTTTGGTAGGTTAGGAGCCCGGACAGATTACCCACCTTCTTGCTTTGTGCTTTTGTACTTTGCCCACAAGTTTATCGATTTAGTGAAAGGTATATGTATGTCTCAACTAGTAAAATTGATCAGACTCACTGAGGTGAAAATCTGTCACTTTACACAGTGAAGACATGTTTACCTTATCCCGTCCCCTCCTGTTCCTTAATCTTTCTGCAGCTTCAGTCCGGCTTAGTCTTTTCCGCGAAACAAAATGAAACAAAATAAAACGAAACGAAACGAAACGAAACCCTAACCCTAACCTTAGATTTTGAACGACCTCAAACATCGTCACGTCCGTATTTCACAGTGTGAAATTTTCTCAGATATTATTGGGCCAATGAAAAAAAAATGCGAGTTAGGGTTAAGGTTTGGGTTTGGGTTTGGGTTTCGTTTCGTTTCGTCTCGTTTCGTGGAAAAGACTAAGCCCTTCAGTCCACAAACAATTTTAGACTGGTTCTAACGGGCACAATGCGAGCTGCCTGTCATTGAAGACCCTTTGAATAATCTTTAACATTCTGGTGTCTAGGTATCGGAAAGTAATATATTTTCCCAATTGGGTCAAAGATAAAGTAATGCCCTATCACCTCGGTGAACCTGATCAAATATGGTTCTCTGGTGCCGTTAATGTCCAATACTCTTCATACCATGTTCTTTTTTGTGGACCTCAACGCAGCGTCCAATTTAGACCAGAATAGTTTCTGTCCATGCTTATTGTCACTCCACTCAATATAGTTGCCCTTTCTCATTAAATACTTCAACAATCCTGGCATATCACCGGTTGGTAAATTCTCTTTCATGATTAAAATGGCTAAATCTCGGTGTTCATCAAACATCTGTTGTCGTACCATCTCAAGCTCAAAGTAACACCACTCACTCTCTATAAATGATTTGGTTAAGATAAACACTGTTTTGCGACTTTTCTGCACGGCATCAACAATGTTATCAGCGATTGTCTCCCCGATAATAAAGTCGCGATAATCTAAACACAGTTTATAATTATAAGGTGGATTTTCCAGAGTTGAATGTAGAACTGTTAAAATCCAATCTTCATCTTTACTGGAATGTGAGAGGAAAGCATCGTATTTGAACTCATCATCATCACCTCTGATTTCTTCATATTTCTTGTTTTTCAGTCGACATTTCATCATGTATATACCGTATCTGTTCAAATAAATCACAAGATATTGCTTATCGACTAGTTTTAATTGTACTATACATTTATTCAATTTAAAAACCCTTAAACCTCAACAGAGGAAATGATTTCAAATCGTGTCAAATCCATAAATTTCTACGAAGCTGGTATGATTAGAATTAATTATAGTAAAACAAACACACACACACACACAAATACAGAAATCAACTAGTGATATCGTAATACTCACTGAAAACGAGGTACTAGAAAAATGACAGAAGTAAACTAAACAATTTGTTTCTTTTAGTGATTTGTTACATTATAATATACAGAGAAAACAAAATGATGAAGTGTTATTTACCATCACGTCATTTTTAGTCAAATTTACAAGCACTACTACTAGCATATTCACACAGTCAGCTGGCGCACACGTGATAATAAAATAAATACGATATTTACTATATGGGGGCCGCCATCTTGAATGGCGCATAAAACTAAACAAGAGACAAGTTGTGAAACTCGTTTTTCAGATTCCTACAAATCAGGACAAAAATACCAATCTTTCACAAAAATACGGTCCGTTGGGGTTATATTAAGCCAACTGATAACAAAACTCGGCCTAATTCGTCGTTTTTGTGTGGAAAAATCCCTTGCATACGAACACCTAATTACGCGAAGAACCTAGAACACTAAGCCGGGGTATTTGAAATTAAAATTGTCATCTAAACGTTAGGCCGTCGTTGATTTTCTGCAGAGCTGGAATGCAAATTTTTAGTTTTTAATACCCCCATGAAAGTGTTCTAGGTTCTTCACCTAATTACGCGAAGAACCTAGAACACTAAGCCGGGATATTTGAAACCAAAATTGTCATCTAAGCGTTAGGCCGTCGCTGATTGGCTGCTGAG